GAGATAATAAACTTAAAAGAACAGTTTATTTTTGCTCCATTTTGAAGACTCAGTCCATGGTTGATGAGGCAGCACATCATAGTGGCTGGAGATGGAGAGAAAGTGGGGAGGGAAGAAAGGACCAGTGTCCCAATATCCCCTTCAAGGCCATGCCTCCTGTGATCTAACTTTCTCCCATCTCTTAAAGGTGTCACTATCTACAAATAGTGCTATAGACTGGTGACCAAGACCTCAACACATGAGCCTTTGGGGGACATTTATTCAAAATAACAAATAGCATTATTTCTTCTGTAGACACAGAAGAAATTCCAGACTTACTTTCAATGGTGGGAGAGGGAAGGTCACGTTGCAGGAGAGCATGTGGGATGGAGGACATGGTTGTAGCCATTTCTGGGAATATGTTCTGCTAGTCTTCCTAGCTTATTAATACAGAATTCAATTTTGTTTATTTTTGGTTGATTCTTGACAATGTGTTTTGATGTATATTAAACACTTAGAATCGTGCCTGGCACACAAACACAGAATGAGTACTTATTAAATATTTAACAAATGGTGTCTGAGCCACTGTGTGCAGATTGTTTCCTGTCCCAGAGGTGTGAGTGTAATTGCACTCCTGATTTACAGTCTCCTCCTCCTTTTACAGACCTTAATGCTCCGTAAGGGCAGGTGTCTTCCCTCCTTATTCACTGTGACATTGCTCAGGTCTACCAAGCCCTCAGTGCTCAATGACAATGTTAAATGAGGGAGATAGGGACTGTGTTTGAGCTGGGATCTCAATGATAAATAGGATTTTGCTAAGGAAGGGAGGTGGAGGGAATAAAGGCAGAAGAAAATAGCAAAAAGGGAAGGGTAAATGTGAATAAAATGGACCATGAGCCCACAGAAGCTGACTCCCTACCTTATTTGACCTCTAGTCGGTTTCCTATAGTCCTCAATGGATTCCAGCGGTCATGTGATGAGTAAATGCTTTTTGAATGAATGTCAAGGGAGAATGTTACACATAAACTTATCCATGGATTTTTGGTGGGGTAAAGATAGATAAATTCAATTATAATCGAAGAGTTGAAAGAATATTTGAAATACCCAACAGTTTTTAGGAATTGAAATACAGTCACACTTTTTATCTTTGAACTTAACAAGGGTTACTCCATTTATATATGTCAAATAACTTTCAGTCAGGGTAGAGCAATTTATATTCTTATGTTGTTTTCTTGCCACTTATGTGCCTGAGAGAATGTAGCAAAATCCTTAGGGTCAATTGCAAAAACTTAAACTAAATCTTACAAGGGCAAGACTAATTTTTAGGTCAAGGGAAAAGAACAAGCCATGCATCTTTCATAGGGATAATGAAAATCAATAGCAAGACAGAATAGTTAACCCCACAGGTGAAACACAATTAAAAAAAATTAATAGCTATTGTACAATGATAATCTAGGAATATCATTATGCATCCTTTTCTTAAAATTTTGTTAACCATTTATTAAAAGTTCAAAAAAGCAGCTATTTAAACCTTTAGTGTCTTAATCCATAGAAATATTCAATAACAGAATATGTTATTTGTTGCATATTAATAAATGTGTGGCTTTTGTAGTTACTGGTTTAACATATATGCCCTATATATGATAGTTATACAAAAATCATGGCAGTTCTCATACTTGTGCTTTTTAAAATTTTAAAAAATATTTTGGTGATGCTGGGGATTGAACCCAGGACCCTGCAATGCTAGGCAAGCACTGTACCACTGAGCTGTACACCCAGCCCTAAGGGCAGTACTTGAGGCACAAAGCAACTTACTCTTCCTGAGCTGACATCCTGTTAACAGGGCAAAGATGTTAAGCACAGCTGCTCCTATATGTAAGAGCTCGAGTCGGCCTTCACCAGCCTTCACTGGCATGTTTCTGATCTCAGAGTGGCCATATGTCTCCCTGCACCCCGAGTGCTTTGAAGATGTATTGTTAGCACAGATATCTCTTCTTGATCAATGTGTATATACACGTTTTCACACACCGGTTAGCTTTGTAGTTTTGTACTTCTATCACACAATGTTCAAGAATGAGAGTCTGTACCCAGGCTTTCCAGCATATTTCCAAACATCTAAAGAACCTGTTTGATCACTTCTGAAAGGGAACAAGACAGTGATTCCTGAGGTCTTCTAATTGTAGGTTTACCTCATTGGAGGATGTACAGTTTTCACATTTGAACCACCATCTGCCTTCACCCCAATTATCTTGTTTCGTTTGGCACAGAGCTACCATTTACAGCCACACACTCCACAGTAGGGACATTCTTCAAAGATCCTCCTGTGGCATTAGGAAGGCCAGATGGTAATACTTTCTGTTGGCACCTCTTTGGAGGCTTAGATATTTTCTTTAGAATGTTCCAGAAAATTACTTGGTCAGCTACACCAACATGTCCTGCAGTATTTCCCTGCACACCGGGGAAGGTGGCCTTGAGGTGGCCTTGTGGCCACTGGTCATCTTTTTTTTTTTTTTTTTTTAAAGAAAGTGAGAGAGAGAATTTTTTATTTTTTTTATTTTTTAGTTTTCGGCGGACACAACATCTTTGTTTGTATGTGGTGCTGAGGATCGAACCCGGGCTGCACGCATGCCAGGCGAGTGCACTACCGCTTGAGCCACATCCCCAGCCCCGCCACTGGTCATCTTCTCTGCGGCTGCCTGCCATGCTTTGCCTGGGAATATGTTCTGCCATGCTCCTTGCCAGCACTGCTCTGGAGACCTGCCTCTGCCTCCACCACACGGCCAAGGCCAGCAGGAATGATATCCAGTCAGCATGGCACCCAGGCCCTTTACCTACCTCCTGGGTGAAGAGGTTGAAGTGGTCATCCAGGACACCTGGGGAGGCTAGGAATCTAGGACTCTAGTCGGTTTCCTACAGTCCTATCTTCCAAAGCAGCTCTACTGTTTTACATATCTGCCATTATGACTGGGTGCTGCAGGGTGTTCCCACTGGGGAACCAGAGCTGCCTCATCGGCTTCACACCATACCCAGTGCCCACACCCTGCTGGCCAAGAGGCTAGCACAGGGCCTACTGTAGAGTTTTTTGTTCATTTTATTCCTAACAATTTTTACCGGAGTACAGTTTACATACTGTATAGTTCACCGACTCAAAGTCGCAGTTAAATGGCTTTTAGTGAAATTACAGATATATACACCATCATTGCTTGCTAGTTATATAATTTTTTCCACCTCAAAAACAAATTCTACCTTTAGCTGCCCTTCTTTGCCCTTCTTCTTGCCCCATATCCTCCTGCCTGTTCCTTCCCCAAGCATGCAAAAATCGCTATCCTGCTTTCTCTAAGTTTCCCCGTTCTGGACTTTCGTATGAATGAATCGTGAAGTATGTGATCTTTTGTGACTGGCTTCTTTCCTTTGCATAATGCTCATCCATGTTGTAGCATGTGTCAGTACTTAATTCCTTCTTAGGATGGAATAATATTCCTTGGTATGGATATACCATGGTTAGTTTATTCACTTATGGAAATTTAGATTCTTTCCAACCTTTGGCTATTATGAATAATGTTGCTAAGGATATCTGGGTATACATTTTAAAAATTTTTTTTATTTATATGTGACAGCAGAATGCATTACAATTCTTATTGAAATTATACATCTAGAGCACAATTTTCACATCTCTGGTTGTATACATAGTATATTCACACCAATTCATATCTTCATACCTGTACTTTGGATAATAATGATCATCACATTCCACCATCATTAATAACTGCATGCCCCCTCCCTTCCCCTCCAACTCCTCTGCCCTATCTAGAGTTCATCTATTCCTCCCTGCTCCCCCTCCCTATCCCACTATGAATCAGCCTCCTCATATCAAAGAAAACATTTGGCATTTGGTTTTTTGGGATTGGCTAACTTCACTTAGCATTATCTTCTGTAACTCCATCCATTTACCTGCAAATGCCATGATTTTGTTATCTTTTGTTGCTGAAATATTCCATTGTGTGTATATGCCACATTTTTTAAATCCATTAATCTATTGAAGGGCATCTAGGTTGGTTCTACAGTTTAGCTATTGTGAATTGTGCTGCTATAAACATTGATGTGGCTGTGTCCCTGTAGTATGCTGTTTTTACGTCCTTTGGGTATAGACCAAGGAGAGGGATAGCTGGGTCAAATGGTGGTTCCATTCCCAATTTTCCAAGAAATCTCTATACTGCTTTCCATATTGGCTGCACCAATTTCATTCCCACCAGCAGTGTATGAATGTACCTTTTCCCCCACATCCTTGCCAACACATTGTTGTTTGTCTTCATAATAGCTGTCATTATGACTGGAGATGAAATCTTGGAGTGGTTTTGATTTGCATTCTATAATTGCTAGTGTTGAACATTTTTTCATGTATTTGTTGATTGTACATCATCTTCTGAGAAATGTCTGTTCAGGTCCTTGGCCCATTTATTGATTGGGTTATTTGTGTTTTTGTTATTTAGCTTTCTGAGTTCTTTATATTGGGTATACATTTCTGTGTGGATCTGCTTGTGTTTCTGTTGGGTTCACACCAACGGCTGGTTTCCTGGGTCAGATGGTAACTGTGGCATTGTTGGAGGAACCACTGGACTATCTTCCAAAGAAGCTATACTGTTTTACATATCTGTATGATGGTTCTGTTTCCCCACATCTTTACCAATACTTGTTGGTCTGACTTTTGACTCTAGCCATCCTAGTGGGTATGAACTGATAGATTGCCTATCATGTGTTTAAAAGAAACAACAACAACAAAAGATTGCTATAAGGTCCGGTTGCCTGTCAGAATAAAAGGAGATGTCATTATTTGTTCAAGATTTTTATTGAATAAAACCCATGATGAGATACTGTTTAAAATGTGTGAGATGCGGGGGAGAAAAGAGTTGGTGGAGAAGTGGGGCAGGTGATGTGTTCCTCGGGTGTCTGTCTTCATCTGTCCCAGGAGACTGCCTCCCTTCTGGCTGATGTTTCTAAAAATGAGCCCCTTTGCCTTTCAGGAGGACTGGCGTTGGCCCAAGTGCTCTTCTTCTATGTGAAGTACTTGGTGCTGTTTGGTGTCCCAGCTCTGCTCATGCGCCTGGATGGACTCAACCCACCGCCCCTCCCCCGCTGCGTGAGCACCATGTTCAGCTTCACCGGGATGTGGAGGTCGGTCGCTTGGTTTCTAAAGTCCTTCAGGGGGTGTCTGGTGGGAGGAACCACAGCTTATTTGGCTTCAAAGAGTTTGAGTACTGTTTGCTCTTCCCCTCACTCAAGTCCCATTTGGCACTTCAGTTTCTTTGTCCCACTACTAGAGTATTGATCCAGGCTTTCTGTACGTCTCAAAATCATCATTAAGCTAATGAAGACGGGTGAGAGAGTTTCTCACCAAGTCTGTCCACCAGCGCACAAAAGGTTATGTTTGAAGTGATTTCTTACTAGGGGTGGGCTATTATATATTATTTTGAAAATGATATCTGTAGATGATTTAAAATATAGTGTCTCAAGATGATAGAAGAGGCCACGGTGGCTATTATCTAAATCTGGGTGGCTTGACTAAATCTTTGTTTTAGTTTCCTGTATCTTCAACAGTAATGATAAAGATAACACCTACCCACGGGAGTTGTTTTGAAGATTATATAAGCTGATGCATTTAGAACAGCTGGCACATAGCAGATATTTACACATTAGCTTTTAGCTTTATACACTTCCTATGCTCAGAGCAGATGGATAGAGAGGTGTTTTTTGAGTTCTTTTACTATTCTTGATTTTTACCCCATAAAGTAGGGTTGGCCTGGATGTTGTTATTTGTTGTTTTGTTCCAGAAGATCCCTCAGCCTCACACCCCCATTATTTGATGGATATTTTCCAGATGGACTTGCTTGTGGCTGTTTCTCTTATCACTTTCAATGTATAGCAAGTGACAGGAATGCTTTTGCAATTGCACACCTAGTGGATAAAGCTCAGGGTTGGCACTGGCTCAACCTTAGTCAGTGCCTCCTTAAAATTTGTCCTCTGAATACTTCATCGGATTCCTCTGGTCCTGGTCAGAATTTTCATTTCGCCTCATTCCCGTGACCTGTTCAAGTCTCACATTTTCTATCAGGGAAGAACTCGGTGAACATTGTCCTACCTAATGTTGCTCTTCAAAAGGAGGTGGGCCGCACTCTACATGCTGGTTTACCATAGTAACTTATTATAGGTGCTGAAATTATCTAAGTCTCTTTCAGTGCAAAATCTAGTTTGATTTGGGGAGAGGGTTAGAAATTTCATACGGCGATTGCGGGGAATGTCAAGTAATTGCTTTGATTGGTCCATAATTACTTCATTGAATACCAGGTTGCCCTGTTTTCATGGCAAGATTAGAGAAGGCTCTCCCTAACAAGAAGGCCATGGAGTAGCTTTTTGTTTAAAAAGTGGACCTGATTGTAAGCTCTGTTAACTTTCAACCTACTCATAAATGTAATTTCCTGAATCAATGGGTTGGGACCCAGCATGATTTGGGGACATGACTTAAATGTTTGATGTGAGCCTAGCACAGCTTCTGTGCCTTTGCAGTGTGCATACCTGTGCTAATGCATTCTTGGAAAGCACATTCTCCTTGGGGACTTTTCAGTGTCCACTCGTACCATAAAGCCATGACTCTTGTAGCAGGCCTGCCTCCAGGCTCCTGATCCAGAAATACCAACCCATTGATTGTCACAGAGGCAATTCAGACAGTTGACTACATTTTTACACCTGGGCTGCCTGTCTTGTCCTTTGTTCATTCCTTCTGTCCCAGAAAGGCCCCTAGTTCCATATGAAGCATGGGGGAGGGGGTCATGTCTACCAAGAGTTTTTTTAATTGTCTTGATTAGAAAGGATTCAAATAGTTTAGACTCCAGGCTATGGAACCACTCTCTCCTTCATCCCAATTAAAATTTTAAGATGAAGACAGGGAAGAGAATAATAATGAAGTTACATCAGGGAGGAAGCTCTAAGTTGACCTCTTGGAGTGAACTTGTTCTGAAAGATATTTACAAGGGCAGGTGATAAAATGACCAAAGGGTGTTTCTGGGAGCTACCTGGACTCCTGTCCTAGTTTCTTTATTCTACAAGGGTGTAGATTTTTTTTTAAATTTTTTATTGTGGGTTGTTCAAAACATTACAAATTTCTTGACATATCATATTCCACACTTTGATTCAAGTGGGTTATGAACTCCCACCTTCACCCCATACACAGATTGCAGAATCACATCAGTTACACATCCATTGATTTACATATTGCCATACTAGTGTCTGTTGTGCTCCGCTGCCTTTCCCATCCTCCACCCTCCCCCCTCCCCACCTCTCCCCTCCCCTCCTCTCCTCTCTCTCTCCCCCCTCCACTGTATAACCCTGAGGGTCTCCTTCCATTTCCATGCAATTTCCCTTCTCTCTCCCTTTCCCTCCCACCTCTCATCCCTGTTAAATGTTAATCTTCTTCTCCTGCTCTTCGTCCCTACTCTGATCTTAGTTACTCTCCTTATATCAAAGAAGACATTTGGCATTTGTTTCCCTAAAGACCTAAAAAGAGCATGCTACAGGGACACTGCTACATCGATGTTCATAGCAGCACAATTCACAATAGCAAGACTGTGGAACCAACCTAGATGCCCTTCAATAGACGAATGGATTAAAAAAATGTGGCATTTATACACAATGGAGTATTACTCTGCATTAAAAAATGACAAAATCATAGAATTTGCAGGGAAATGGATGGCATTAGAGCAGATTATGCTAAGTGAAGCTAGCCAATCCCTAAAAGGGTGTAGATTTAATCTTGTGTGGTTTTAAGTTTCTTGAAGAATTTTCTAGTTTGCCAATTACACTTAGAAAATTTGGATTATTGTACACAACAACCATTTTATATTAAATGGTTGGATTTAGGAATGAAGGTTAACTGTCCTTGAGCTATAGGGAATAATGGAAGGCTCCAAAGTAGCTGAATTAAAAAAAATTACTTAAGCTTATCTTTTGTGCTATTTGCAAATGTTCCTTCATCCTTAGGAAGATGTTTATCATGTTTCATGTTCAGTATCTGCTAGCATAACCTTGACCCTGATCCCCATTTTTCAACTTTTCTCGTTAGGAATGCATATTTAGGGAAAACAAGTTTTGAATTTGTATGTCTATTAACAGCTAAATTCACGCTAATATTTGTTGACTATCTATTGAGGTGCTGCCACAGACAGGAAGTGGCTCCCTCTTCCTGGATTTAGGTCCAGAAAGAATTTAATCATGAGCAGATGGGAAAGCTGGTGGTCCAGATTATTCCACTAGGCCATAGCAGTCTTTATACAGTAGCACAAAGGACAGGGTGGGTGGGAATTGGAAGGAAGAGATTTAAAACAGTCTCTGGAGATTATTTTATGATTATCTGAACTTGTAGGAAATCTATACTGAATGGGGTTTAGAACTTAAGAGGAGAGATGAATTTTTAGCCCATCATGTCAGAGGCACCTTGTATGTACCTGGACACAGTGCTGATCGATTGCACCATCTTTCAGTCCACTTAGCATTGAGAGAAGACTTGAAGCTATCAGTTTGCCCCTTTGATAGGAATCTGAGCTCTACATCATAGAATAGATGAAATTGGCCATCAGCAGAGAGATAATCTTCCCTGACACGATAGTTCAAATTGGCCATGAGAAATTGCCATTCACCCAGATGGCCAAACCTTAAAGTTAGGACCTGATGAATCTTTTTTTTTTTTTTTTTTTTTTTTTTTGCCCCGCTCCTGGCTCTTTCATAGAATTACTGTTGAAATATTTGCAGGCACAGCAAAGCCCTCAAGAGTATGCGTATTCCCACTTGCTTGATTTTTTTTTTTTTTCTGTAGTCGCACAGACCAGAGAAATTGAGAATTTTCTGCTTTAATTTTTAGGTTTCATGTTTTAATTTAGATGGGTTGAGATCTATAATGAGTATCTTTTTCCCAGGGTCATTAAATATGACATTGCATGTCTGAGGTTTCAAATTAGAAATCTGATCATGCCCCTCTGATTTGCTTTCTAGTTATGGAAGCAAAACTTGCAAAGTGATAGAACTTCCCATGGTGGCTGCTGAGTTATGGGTCAATTTCAATTATCTCAGGAATCTTGCACAGCTTGCCCTCTGCATTTTTTGACTTATGATGCTCTCAGGTCTTCACATGCAAACTCATGCATCACTGCTTATCACAGAAGGATCTAGGTGCTGTTTGGCTGCAAGACCTTAATATATGGGGGATATCTTTAGCCTGGAAGGAGGAGGAGTCTGAACCCCATCTTCTGTTCAGGCTCCAATTGCATGGGCTGGTAGTTCAATAGAAGAATTTAGTTTCCTAGTTTGGTTCAGGCATGTGGTAGTTGATAAAAGCACTATTAGATGGACAGCAGAGGCAGGATGAACCCAGAAGAAAGGTGAAATGGGTGTTGTTCCTTTTTTTTTGGTGAGACAGTCTAGGGACTAAGAACTTGCTGCTAACTACTTGGGCAACTCGTTTAAGTTCTCTAGGTTAATCCTTCCATTTGTAAAAAAGAGGATAATACTGTTTGTCCCAGAGGTATGATAGGAGCATTAATTGAGCCTGACATGAAGTACATCCTCAGGTCGTGGCAGCTTCTCAATTTTTTTTTTTTTTGATGGGGGAGAGTTGAAAACCTAACAAAACCAGAGGTGACTGAGAGGCCAGTCTGCTGATGGGTCAGGTTGGAGAAGTGGTGAGTTAATGGGATGGGTGAGGGAAAACTCCATCCAGCTTGGAGCTAGAGATGTGATGATTCATAGACTACGGTGATAAAGTCATGTGTTCTGCCCTCAAAAGAGGGCCCAGGATCAAGTCATTTTTGTCTCATTTTCCTCATCTGTTGAATGAGACTATGAGCAAAATCCTAGCACTAGATGGTGCCTATGTTCCCGACCGTCTTGCTGTGGCACCTGCCACAAGGCACAGGTGCCTCCATTTCCAGTACCCACATCATGGGCAGGTTGTTAACCTCCTCATGCCTCAGTTTTCCGAGATGCTAAGATGGGGCTACATAGTATTGCTTCCCTGGGTTGTAGTATTAAGAAAGATCATACACTAAAGTGCTGAATCCTGGGGAAGCATATCATCAAAGCCAAAATATTCACTAATAATTGTCATTACAGTTAAGAAAATTTTCCAT